GCCATTGCTTGTTTATATTTGAAACAGCAGAATAGTAGATTTGTTGTCAATCTAGAGAAAGTAAGCTTTTCAATAACAAAGATAACGCCTTCTTTCATTATTATGAATTAAATCATGCTTAATGCATTCTGGAATTTTTTCGAGGAAATAAGTGTTTAAGATTTACTTCATAATTTTCAATACATACATTTTGAGTTTTTATGTATTTTTGCCCTGTCGCGAACTGAGATCTGAATTAATTGAATGAGAAATACTGAATCGTCTGTGAAAAACTGCTTTTTTGTTTGTTTTTGTTTTTGTTCTTTGCTTAATTTCTTTTATACATCGTTTTAGATTTATTATACACTGGTGTGCAAATCTTAAGCAACAATGTAAATTTTAATCAGATAGCCATTAAGTTGTAGAAAAGGGGTTCTTGCGCTCAGTACAATGAACACGCAATTCAGTACAAAGGTCATGTGTATGCAAATGTCAGGAAGAAAACGTCATAGGCTACGTGATCGTACGCAAAACGCGTACGGTCGGCACGCTCAACTCGAGACTACCATAAAAGGATGGAGACGCGATTATTGTATCGCTGCAGGTATAAGAAGTTCTTTTGTGAAATATTGGCTAGAAGAAATGATCTGGATGACTTCACACGTGGAAGAATGATCGAAAATCTGGAGTAGGGGCGACGTGTGACCAATATAGCTGAAGAGTTCGGAATCAACAAAAGTGTCTTTTCGCGCGCTTGGAAAACATTACAAACCATAGGTACGGCTGTTAGAAAGGTTGGTGGTTGCCGACCAAGGAAAACAACTGCAGTGGATGAACGATATATTGTCCTGCAGGCGAAAAGAGCCCGAAACCAGTCACCAAACTCCATAGTTTAACTACTGTGTACAGTAGTCGCGGTTTACTGTGTGCAGTCACCTTCAAAAAGGTGGCTTATTCGCCTGCCGTCCTGAACTCTGCATCCCTTTGAAAGTTGGCCATCAGCATCACCGTTTACAATGGTGCAAGAAGCGCAAAAACTGGGCATCGCATCAATGGAATCGTATCCTCCTTACGGATAAGAGTCGTTTTAGTGCCCCAAGCGATTCTCAACACAAATTGATTTGGAGAGAGGTCGGAATACGGTTTAATCTCAGTAACATCACGGAAAGAGACCGTTACGGGGTCCTGAAGATCTCGTTTGGAGAGGCATTATGCTGAACGGGCGGACAGAGCTCCACGTTTTCGACAGAAGTTCTATAATCGCAGATCGCTGTTGTCAGGAGGCGATCCTTCCCCATGTGCGTCTGTTCCGAGGTGTCATTGGAGCAGACTTCGTTTTTATGGATAACAATGCACGGCCACACCAGACTCCTGCTGTTCAGAAGCTACTGAAAAGTGAAGATATCACTCGAATGGATTGGCCAGCGTGCTCCCCTGATCTAAATCCCGTAGAACATGTGTTGGATGCTTTGGGGAGATGCTTTGTGGCACGATTACATCCTCCGGGGAACACCCAGCAACTGAAACAGATGCTGATTGAGGAATGGGCCATTTTACCTCAAGATCTGTTGAACAATCTGGTGCTGAGTATGGAGACACCGTTCGAAGCAACCATTGCAGTAAGGGGAGGGCATATCTCATAGCAAGGAACATCTGCTTGTTGTACATATTGTACAACAATCATGTATATATCCTCTTGTACATACAATCATGTATAACGATACTATGAGTTCAATAAAGCCTATTTTTGTTTGATTTCGTACTGTATGCATTGTATTCATTTTTAGCGCAATTATTCTTTTGTCATCGTTTAAACACAAAATGCTGTATCTTAATTCTGAATTTCATGTCTCTCAGATGATTTCTCGTGCAAAAAAGAACACCTGTTGCTTAAGTTTTGCACACCATGGCAGTATTTGAATAGAACATGTGGCAACGATTAGATAATTAATTCTTAAGATTATATAAATTTTGTGCATTGTGAGTTAAAAAATGATTGAAATGTATCGCTATTAAGTGAGGCTAGGGACAGAATAACAAATATGGTAAACAAATATAGTGAATTTTAAAGAGTGCATTTATTCTATTGTGGAATCCGTACAAGGAAGTCATATGGTGCACGCATCAGATATTTTTCCTTTCATATTGGCAATATTATCTATCGTAGCTTTAGATATCGAAAAAATCATGGTTTTCACAGCGTGTTTTAATAACTAGGTACAAAGTATTTTCTTCGTAAAGCGCACAAGCATAACCTTCCATCCATTGCTTCGTTAAAAGCGCCATTTTGCATGAAAACAAACTGTCGAGTAGCAGACGATAATTTATACTTTCAAAAATATAGTTGCATTTAAAAAACATTTCCAAGCAGACGATTTCTTTGTAGCTAATCAAAATTGTCTAAAACATTGGCGAACAGTGTTTGGTTGAGAATAATAAAGGAACAATAAAAATATGTATGTAGCTTTTCCATCAAAGGCTTCTGAGATCTTCCTCTAATCCAAGTCTTTCAATATGTGGAAAATCCCCTACAATACGTGATCCCTCTTTTTGAACTGGGTTCCGAAAAGATTACCGAAGTTCCGGGATTAGCAAGATGCCTTCCGAAATATACAAAAGAAGGTTTTTGGCAGCACAATTGTGGTAAGAATAGTCGTCTGTGATATTTGAGGAGTTTTTTTAAGATTTGTAGCTGTACGATGAAAGAAAATAGATCGCATAACGGGCATGGTGCGTAACAATAGTGATTAACGAATGTGCGTCGTTAAAAAGAGAAGAAAAATAAAAATGGAAGTTGTAACGATGGTGAGGATTTGCGCTAAGCTAGACTGCATTTACAGAAGCAAGTTTCTTTGCTTATTCCAGAAGCAATTTTTCTTTGGAAAAATGCAACACAATATCTAGTCGACGATTTATAAAAATTAATATACGTCTATTTTTCTGTTTTCTTTGTGGGGAATAAGTTTTATGGAACTCTGTGTTTCGTAAATACAATGTATTACGAAAGAAATATCAGTATAAAATAAAGTTATCGGAATCGATGTATACTTATGTAGAACGCATTTTAATAGTTTAATTTCTTATTATATAAATGTCCAACACGTATTGTCACACGTAAAACGTGTTGTCATTGACAACATGTTTCATTTTAAAAGCCAAATCTCTTAAATAATGCCGGCAATGGAAGATTTCCTCTTTGGACTGGAAGATTTCTGCGTAATGTTAAATTATACATATTTCTTCTTGCTATTCATTTTAACACTTCTGCCACGTGGCGCTTTATATTTCTTGCTTGAACAACAAGCAGCTACTCTTTCAGTGTAGCTATAATTTTATCATAAAAAATGCCAGGAAACTACATGACATTATTTTCAATCTATATGGAGGGTATACATACGGTCTGTCTATCATAAGGAAAGCTCTTGTTAGTCTGCGGCTGTTGCCGTAGAAACGAAACGTGACCCATTTTCGGTAGGGGTGTCTTGAAGATGAATGATGAACTCTTTTCCAGCAGTCGCCATATAAACATAAAGCAACAGTGTAGATACATTGATATTTGCCATAAACCTTATAGAGACATTAGGTATTTTAAGCAGGAGAGATGAAAAATGAGCAATGCCTTCGCGGGAATCGAACCATGGACCTCTGGAGTTTTGTTTGACTGACAATGTTAACCATTTTTCATAATACTTATGTAACTGCCTATGTAACTGTGCATCACCTTCTCCCCTTTTTTTGGTAACTCATGCAACTTCGCAACATAGTAATAGCGCATAAAGATTTCTATAACAGCATTTCTTATATGTAACAGTACAATTTATGTAACTATGAGAATTCGTAATCTGACTATCAAATATACGGTATATCATTGGTTTGTAACTGAATTCATAATGTTGTAACATATATAATGCCTAAAGTTGAAGTTGTAATGGTATTTAGCTTGACCTTTGTACTAGTGATTTCTAATCACAAGATTTTGTAACCTTAATTTTGCACTAGATCAAGATCATTTTTACTTTGTTTCTTCTCCACAACTGTTCATTTTCCTATTGTAGTAAGCTTATAATATCTGAATGTTTTTTTTTTTAGTTGCTTCAAGCAAAGATGACAATGTAATTATTTTTGGATTGTGACTCTGTAATTTGATTACATTAAATTAATGCCTGTCTGATCTGTCTTGGCCAACTGAGGCTGTGGCGGAGTTAGTAGTAGACTTCCACTGATCAGGCACTATTGGGCTTGGTAATATTTTAGATAATCTTAGGTCGGAAGCCTGCTCAGTGGTGCTATATGCTATATATACGCGTCCAGCATGCAGACCACCACACCACGGAGGCATGCCAAGAAGGCGGGAGAATACCTTATAACCCTTGATTCGCCCATATTTGAAATGTACTGACCCTGCTACTATAGAGACCGTAACCCGCCAGACACTGTGGCGGGGGGGGGCTGTTCTTCTCTTAGACAGACAGTACACTGGCCGTTGATTTCAAACAGTGCTACCAATACACAGCTGGGTACCGTTCTTGGGAAAAAGAAACATAGTTTATTTCTTACGTTTTTGATTGCTACCGTGCTACCACTTTTGACGTGCTTTTGATAATGAAATACTATAGTGTTTAGTATTTTACCCCTGTATGCATGACGTAACATTTTAGGCACATCATTACCACTCTTCTCAAATTCAACGCAAAAAGTCACACGCCTACTGTAGGTTCATAGAGACATTAACGGTTTCTCACTTGCCATTACATAACCTAGAAAATACTTCCATTTACTGTGACTAAATAGTAAAGATTATGGCTACCATGTTGCAGATACGTAGGACTTTGAGAAAAGCCCAGTATAATCTTTATTTCTAATATGAGTACAGCCCTCTTCTAATATCAATAATATAAAACAAGGCATTCTCAAGACTTTTCAATAAGCCTTTGAAATAAGGAAACTCAATTTAAAAAATTTTCAAACTCATTGTTATCAGATCAGTATCAGACATTACTAGCTTATGTGAAAAAGCTTACTTTTGAGCATTTTGTTCCTCAGTCTTGCCCAAGTCTGCCTGTTCTCTGTGGTGAGAAGGCCTACCGGAGGTTGGAGGTTCTCCTTATCTTTCGACATCTGCATCACCTGTCGCAGTTGGTCCACGAGTGTATTTTCGTTAGGGAATTCTTCACTATTTGGTGGTTTCACTTGGACTGTAAAGAACTGAAAAAACAAGAAAGCGAAGCGTCAACATTTCTGTACTCTTCTCATGAAAACAAATAAATTAGAAAATGTTTACGGACATTGAGAGAAAGCATATGAGAGCCTATTATATTTAAAAACCTAATTTATGAAGGTTCCAGAAATAAATGAGGTAGTGTCGTGCAAGAATGCCGCCTGAAATAGTCAACCCAATGAAAATAAAACGCGAATTTTATTGGCTACTCAGAAAATAGCGAATTTTATATTAACAAAAGGACATTAAGATAACTTTGTCGACAACATAATAAATTGCATTTCCTTTTTCCTGAGGAAAAAGTAAATTTACGTTTCCTTTTTGAAAGGAAAAATTTCCTAAGGAAAAAGTAAATTTACATTTCCTTATTGAAAGGAAAAATTTCCTAAGGAAAAAGTAAATTTACATTTCCTTTTTGAAAGGAAAAATTTCCTAAGGAAAAAGTAAATTTACATTTCCTTATTGAAAGGAAAAATTTCCTAAGGAAAAAGTAAAGTTACATTTCCTTATTGAAAGGAAAAATTTCCTAAGGAAAAAGTAAATTTACATTTCCTTATTGAAAGGAAAAATTTCCTAAGGAAACAGTAAATTTACATTTCCTTTTTGAAAGGAAAAATTTCCTAAGGAAAAAGTGAATTTATATTTCCTTTTTGAAAGGAAAAATTTCCTAAGGAAAAAGTAAATTTACATTTCCTTTTTGAAAGGAAAAATTTCCTAAGGAAAAAGTATTGCATTTCCTTTTTCCTGAGCACTAGTTATGAGTATGTTTACATCAAAAAATGTAAACAACTTAACATTTTGTTCAGAAAACAGTAGTTTGAGTCGATATTTGTTATCTACTTAAATATCTGAATACAGAATTTTGTGGCGTTTCACTATAAACAGCAAATCACTTTTTAAATTGTTGCTACCAAATATTATCGCCCTCTATTATATTTAATGAAATTAAATAAGGAAGAATGTGCATTAATGTATGTATGTTTCACGCACAGTAAAAAAACAGCGATATCTAGAGCCATCAAATTTTGAATAAGGTAATCCTCCCCCCAAACATGGGCACATGGACGACCGAATTTTGAATTTCGAATTTATTATCTATTTCATATTTTTTAAAATTTTAACGAATTTTTATTAGCAAACTCAACGATTTTAACAGCGAGAAATTTCAACACTGAACGGAAAAACATTTTTACCTCCAGCGCGAGAATCTCTGTCGGAAATTCTAAAGATATGCTGTTTTTAAATATTTCGTGGTATTGCTATTGAATTGAATTTTATGTGGTTTAAGTGCGAAGAACATGATATTTAATAAATAAAGGTAACACACAAAACGTTAACAAAACGCTTGTTTGAACGTAATATAAAATCTGAAATTTTTTTCATATTTTTTATTGTTTAAATTTCCTTTTTATTAATTTATCATTTTAATAACCAATTGCAGTTTAATTAATTACAAATTCCAATTTTTTGATTTCCACAGTAGGGAATATTTACTATCTTAATTATACCTCACATTTCTTAGGAGATAATTTTTCATTTATATATTCTCTATCAAATTAAATTTTAATCCTAGTAGCGATAGTGCAGGATTTTACTTTTTAAATATTTTAAACTAAGTTTCAAAAATTCATTAATTTTAAAAGGTTTTTCTTGGAGTATTTCTTTACAAATTATATATTGTTACGGTTTTTGTATTTAGTTTGCTATTTTTAGTAGAATTGTAATTAAAACTGTTTCATTTTCCTGTCCAATGCAGTGCGTGATGAGTGTTAACAGAAAGCTATGCCGAAAATGTAAAACTACAGGAGCACGCACATTTAATAAATAGATATCTCGTAATTTTTATTTAATTGAAATAATACTTTTGTGTTAGATGTAACTATAATTCTACTCTTTTGCTTTCCAGAAACCTCGGGGAGTTATGAGAAGCTTCTCGTGACTGATTAAAAAGCTTATAAAAGCCGGAGAAAAACATCTCAGTTCAGTTGTTTGCTGAGTTTTTGTTGCTGATTGCAGCGAATTCGCGATGAGATCGTATTAGTCTCTGTACTTTAAATTGTGTACGAATATATGTGAGGAAAAATTTCAGCATTTTGTTTTATTTCTTGTGATAAGAATAAATTTTGTTGACCTTTAAATTTGTCGACCTTTGACCTTTTTAAATTTTGTCGACCTTTTATTTTATTTTGTTGACTTGTGCATTGAATTTATTACGAACCCGTACACACGCAACGATATATATCATTAAACATAATTCATCAATTAAGTACAGCTTAATTATTTTAATTATTTTATTCGCATTTTCCAAGAAAATCTGTTGTACTTGAATCCACATTTGCTCTTCTTTTTTCGTAACTTATGTAAGTGTCACATTAAATAATGATAAGAAAGAATTCTACTAAATTATGCATTAATACGGGCATGAGAATTCCTCACACAGTCTCTTGAATCAGTGTCTAAAATACATAATGCAATATAATCATCTAAACCATCCAAATAATTATTCTGCGCATGATATGAGATTAAAGCTTTGCCTTTCGAAATCCACAGGGATCGTAACGCTTGCGACTCGAAAGCGGATCTCATAAATGCATGCATCGCCTTCAAAGATGTGATAATGAGGTAGATATGCGATTGCATAATGAATACTGCTTCACTTTACTACCACCGGCAGCCGCTAGAGGGAGCTGATTTGATCAAATTATGCTGCGATGAAAGATATGGAATATATTCGACTTCATTCATCGCAGAACACGGTATTTTCATAAAAATAAAAATAAAGAGAGTCGATTTACATTTGCAAGAAGAAAATTTTTAAAACATTTCCCGTATTTTAATCTGCTGAAGAAAATATCTGAAAATGTTTCTTTATTTCATTAATAAAAATGTCAACAGACGCTATTAGAACTTCCGTTTTGTCTTTTATTTTCCTTCATTTAGATAGCATTATTCTTAGACCTGCAGCAGTTTCATCATTCATAACTGATTAAACGTTTCATATTACTTCTGAGATTTGCATCTAAATGTAATCGGAAAATGTAATTTTCTTCTTCATTGTGAATAGTTGCTTTTACACCAGCGAACTCATTAATGTTAAAAGTTACGAAATGGTTTGTCTCTTGAGTTGTTTAATGCAATTTTCACTTCATCATACACGCATTTTTTCAATATTTGACAAAATGATAATTGTCTCATTCCTCTCGCTAAAAACTACATTAGTTGCTTCACATATTATAGCTCTTTGCCTTTAATCCAATTTGAGAAAGATTTTCATATTGACATATATGTATATATGCAATATAATATATTTTATTGACATTAAAAATCCTGTTTGCTGTTAGCAATGCTGATTGCCAAATGAAAAATGATTACGAGGTTCAAAGGGTCTCATGAGTTTTGTAAAAAATTATAAGAGTCTCGTAAAAATATCGTAAATAAAGAAAGAAATATATAATAGTTCCTTTTTATTTGTTAAGCGTACAGTTGTTATGCTTTAAAGATAAAGAAGCAAATATAGAAATAAATTAATAGCAAGTTTATAAGGTATTTTCTTCCTTCTTTCTGCATGCCTACGTGGTGTAACGGTAGCACACTCGGCTGGTATTCGAGAGATCCAGTTTCAATTCCCAGCGAGGGGATTGCTAATGTTTCATTTTTCTTGCTTCAAAATAACCCAATGATTCTATAAGTTATATAGTTTCAGGAGCAAAGATAAGAAAGAATGTTCTGAAAATTGAAATTCAGTTTGAGTAGCACACATGCCACCTTAATTTATATGGCAGCTCTAAGGAAAGCGTGGAAATTGCAGAAATACGTTACTGGCAATTAAATTACTGAAACATGAAGCAACCGTTCAGCATACCTGAAGGAAACACGCAACTTGCTTGCCTGAAGAGTATAACATGCTGGCATGAGCAAATGATTAGGATTTCAGGGAATACGTGCACTGCAGACAAGACTAATTACGCTTCAGAGAAGAATAAAAAGGCAGATTGAAATGCTGATGTTTCGTCCGGAAATCGCATTTTCTTTATTGGAAGTGGTGTAAGGAGAAAAAACCCGTACTTGCACATCTTCGAATTCGATTGCTATATAATTATAGAGCATCGAGCCTCCCAATTAACGTACTGCGCAACTGCTGCTAGTACAAGTACAAGTACAAGTGACGGGGGACGTGGGCACTGTGCCTCGACCATACTGGTTAATCAGTACAGCACCACGTCCACCATTAACTAGTAGAGCCCCGGATGTCAAGAAGGGGGCACACTGGCGCCTCGCCGATTTAGTATGCATTGATTATATTTATAAATACAGGGTCTTACAGTCGTTCAACATACATATTACAAGATTTCCTACGGTGACCTTGATAACAATTATAATTACCCGCACAAATTATAGTTACACATATTGTTACATTGAATAATACTTTGACAATATATGACTTGCTTAAAATATACGTCGAAGCACGTTTAAAATATGCATAGAAATATGAACACTGATACGCATGATATAACACTGATTATATACATTACATATATATGCAGTAGCTACTTAATATAATAAACTGCTGATAGTATTGATCGAGATCTATCCTTTATCCTGAATCAGAAAATTGTGCAAATACGGTGCAATGGCGCCTGTAATAGTCACCAATCCTACGACTTCCGTTCATACATGAACGCACCAATAGAGTGACATCGTCATTTTTGACAAAAGCCCGCCTTTGCTTACAACACCATGACGACTGCCGTATCCGCGTCTGGAAGAACCGAGAGGAACGGAATTTGAAAGCTTGTATTTTTCATCTTGATTGTTGCCCAGAAGATGCTAGGTGACCTCTGGTCCTCACACCAGTAATTTGACCAACCAACATTGCATTGCTGAGGTTTCATTTTCGGTGGCTTTATTTGCCTTTGTAGTCTTCGCCGACCAACCTTTCAGTAAGACAGTATGAAGTTGTTCATGTTCTACTATGTTTCATACGCAG